AAATTGCGGAAAAAGCTATACTTTGGGGATGACATTTTGTCAGCCTCGAATTCCAACGTTGAAACAACTATGTCATGGTCTGAGCCCCCGAGATGGCCTTGGGATGACACCGACGATGGCATGCAGCCTCTACAGAAAATTAAGTCAAGTATGCTTGATCCTCGGGTGGGAAAATCGACAACCTGATTCCACATCCCAACATGTACAGCCTCAAGAAAGTCTTCGAACCTTCTTGGGCCTGAAGGCGGAGACCAGCGGACTTCGGGAAGATTAAAGTCACCCGCAACCAATTAATACTTAAAGCTTGTGTCGGCCGCAGCATGAAATGCCTGTGAGAGTAAACGATCGAAATTGTCGTTGGCGTTGGGAGGACGATAGACGCAGCCAACGAGTAAGGAGAACTTATTTTTAGTGCAACCTGGAGCCAGCAGCTGCCTTCTACTGCGGAAAAATGCGGGAGGTCCAACGGCAAAAATGTAAGTGTTTGCTTAACGTAGACGCAGCAGCCCCCACCACGGCTATCTTGGCGATATTTCGGATGGTATTATAGCCTAGAAGCGAGAGTTCGGAGTCAGCTACTGAGGCTGATGCCCACGTCTCCGTTACTAAAACAATATCTGGACAATGGACGAACACCAGTGTCTGAAGCAAAGGCATCTTATAAAACAAGGATCTGGCATTTAAAACAAAAAGTTTGAAGGGAAAGGCTGTTTGTTTTTGAGGGAGGTGGGCTACATCGTCCAGTTCTGGGTTGCCCACGGAGCAAATGGTCCGGATGCAACCATCCGGTTTTGTAACAATTTTGTGGCATCGAAAACTTCTGACGTGGATAAAAAGAGGTAGGACTTGGGGGGGGGGGGAATGACGGGCAGGTGAACTGGTGACCATTGTTAGCTAAGTTATTTTCAGCTGGAAATCCGCGGGGCAGATACTGCAACGTATTCCCGCCGGAACGAAACTGAGGATCGGATGAATTAACTGATTCAGTATGGACATTATCATGAGGAATAAATTGGTAAAACGGCCGTGGAGGAAACAAGTTAGGGGATGGGGGACGCATTGTTTCCATTGGAGCAAGAGTTTTATTAAACGGCGGAAAAATCGGCATATTCGGCCTAAATACCTCGATATGAGGGCTGGGGGGGGGGGGCGCAGTTGCGAACCCGCTACGTTTTGAGTCGGGGTATTTGAGGCACTGTTAGCCGATTGCGGAGGATAAGATTTTACAATGGTGCTAAATTTATTGGGTGTCCGAGTGGCCGAGACAGCAATTGGATTTGCCTTTCACTTAGACACATGCTTAGGCTTACTAGGGGTTGCTAAGGGAGTCGATAGAGACGTGTTTATACCAGGCGTGATGGTGTGTTTAAAGAGCTCAGCATTAATAGTAGTCGAATTCCCTACGGAATTGAATATGCCGTGATGTGCAGATGTCGCAGATGGTGTTGTAGAGGACTTATTCAGAATAACAGTAGGTGTCATTATCTTGGTGCTGGTTTTTGCCGATTTTAGTTTATTCGGTCTTCGCTGCAGGGGTGTGAGGTCTGGCGAAACAGAGCAGCGCCATTTACGGCAGAAGTCTCTAGTTATCTCCCTACTCTACAAGATAAAATCGACTTCTATCATGGAGAAAAGGGTAACTAGTATCGGCGCATTACGGCTAATCGAGCGAAGTCGCTTAGCTTGTGCGACACTGAAAGTCAAGCCACAACTTTGTAGGAACAAATGCGCTCCCTCCATAGCAGATAAGTGGCTCGGAATGTTTCGCAGTACGAAATTATGCTTGCGCATAATTCTTTCCTCAGTTTCCGAACTTATTACCGCAATAAATTTAAAAGCTTGTTCAATTACTTTTTCAGAAGTGCTGTTTATGTCGCCATAAATAAATATTGTACATATCGTTATTTTTTGAAAATTGTGTTATCATTTTCCCTTAGAACTGAGGTGTTTTCTAACTTAACACGAACTCTCAATTCGGGCTCTTTTGGCTAACCAGACACCCAAAACAAATGAAGTCAATGTGCGGTTGAAATTGACGAGTTTGTTTTAGGTTTTTTTCCTGAGTTCGAAGGGGACTGATAGTGCCCAAGGGGCGCTACAATATACCTATTCTGTTCTATTTTATTCTATTTATCTCCCCACGTCCAACAAATATCACCGAAAGCCACTCGCCTATGTGGATTCATATGTAAAAATTTCACCTTAAATGCACTAAGAATACAACTTTTCAAAATGTACGTTTTGCCTCTCCTAGATTACTGTTCAATTTTCTTCGGCATAATGCCCTCAGACGGCCGAAAGAAACAAGAAGGCATTCAGAGACGTTTTACTAGATCTTTGTCTAGAAGTGATGGCATCCAGGGTTCATACTTAGAACTATCTCATAAATACGGTCTTCGACCCCTCTGGATCAGAAGACTTCAAAATGATCAAAATTCCTATTCAAGGTCACCCACGACCAAGATATTCTCAAAATGAATTTACTAACCAACCAAAACGCCCCTAGAAACACCAGAAATAACGATGATATTATAAGGATTCCCAAATTCACAAAGTCCCAACGGTCAAATTTATACACCATAAGATATGCGACTATCTGGAATTCTCTTCCAGGTTATTGCGGAAAAGTCGAACCCTAAACGAGTTTAAAATAAAAACTAAGAAATTCCTCTCAAATAGCAATACACATTTATTTTTGAATAAGATAGGACATTTTTCAAGTCAATTCCTTGATATAGAATTTGGTCCAAAAGGGCTCTGATGATGCCAGCCACTTGAAAAATACCGGAACATAGCACTAAAAATAATCAAATTTATAAAAGATAGCATCATTGATAAACATAGAACAGATAGTTTTATTCTTTTTTTTCTCTCTTCCTCGTTTCCATCAGCAACGTCACCTGACACTAAATATCTCTTAGATGCTAACAATAACATCACCTTCGATAAAACCCTGCATATGAGTTGTGCGTAAGTATATATTAAGGCCATATTAATCATATATACAACTACATTTGACCATAGTAAACAGTCGACCATTACACTTATAATGCCACATTCACAAGAACAATATGATATATGATTAAGTATTATTTTGACAGCTTTGATTGTGCCTCAGAAATTAAACAAGGCAAGATAAAACTGGAGTTCATTTACCAGAAAACACACGGGGAAAGCTGGGGAACCCACTGACGAGCCGAACCCCTCGCAGCTGCGTCAGGCAGCGGCACAAGATCGGCGAAACACGCGTGTCTGGGCTTTTAGCTAATACCTGTGTTTTAGTACGGTAAATTATTGCAGCTTTGATTGTGACTTACCATTGAATGTTTCTTACTCCTGACATGTATTCATCTCTTCCAGCTTTTAGTCCAGACAATTATGGCAAGCCTCCTTGAAAACACGAAGGAAATGTGCGACCGCTCCTTTGCAGCTGGCCAGATTGTAGCAGGCACACATGATCTGTTGTTTTAATAGACAAGGGCGCTAAGTTCGAGAGCAAGGGTGCCTGGTGTCTGGACACTATCTGTCTGCTTTCTCTTGTTTTTTTTAGTCGATATGCATGAAGAAGAAGAAGAAGAAGAAAAAGAAGTAGAAGACTCCCCCTCCCCGGTGGCAGCATCCAACTCCACCTTCCCTGGACAGCTGTGAAACTAACGTTTTGTTGGACTAATAGATCGCCCCTTTGTTTGGCCCTCGTTCTACGTTCCCCTTTTTGCCCTTCCTCAATAAACCTTAGAGTACTACGCGGCGTATCGTGTGCTTCAAGATTGTTATTCCACAATGAGCGCTTGGAAGGACGATCCTAACGGTTCACAAATCGGACAGAGTGCCCCAGTTTCCGAAGTTCCGTCCGAGGCAACCCAAAAGGACGCGAGTGAACTCTCGGCCACCGAAGCCCTTTCGAGGTCGGACGCTAGAATGGTGGCAGCGAACGAGCCGAGTTCGCAGCCTAAAAGCAGTACGACAAACCCTATTCCGTCTTCTTTTAAACACTACGACGGGAGTTAAGATTTTTCGTGCTGGTTTCGCCGCCTTAAGTTCCACCTAGACGATGTTCCACAAAACGAACGCAGCCATACGGTACTTCAGTATCTAGCAGACGACCAGAGGACAAGGCACTCGATGCCGGACTCACCCGCCACACCCCTTTCCAGGTGCTGTGCGACCAATTGCAGAGACTATTCCAACTCCCATTGACCATAGAGGAAGCGATGACACCCCTCGGCAGTTCACCGACGCCTTACTCCGGCTCGCACGCGACGCCTACCCCTCACTGTCTGCGGCCGATAGAGACCAAGTGGTCCTTTACCACTTCAAACGCAGTCTCGGGTCCCAAAATTTGACGTATTCCCTGAGGATTCAGCCACCGGGTGACCTCAACGAAGCCATCTAGCGGGCAGCCCGCATGCTAACAACCGACGCCCAAACAGGCGATAATCACTCCCGGGCTGAACCGTGGAAATCCACGCCAGACCGCAGGCAACAGAACAACACCTGGACAAGACCGCTCTACCAGCCTTCACAACGATTCAACCGCGGCAGCCGACCCTCCACGTTCCGCACGCCCTATCGGCCCCCACCGCTCAACACTGGGCCAATACATTTCCGGGGAGATAGAGACATTACTGCGGCGGCGATTACCAAGGAAGGTAACCACATCATTCCCGTCTACTTTGATTACACGTCACATAGTTTACCGTTTTAAACGACGATTTACCTAGACAACAAACATATCAAGGCTCTCGTCGACACAGGTGCCACCACGTCGTTAATTCGGGCAGATGTTTTAGACTCTAAGTGGCTAAACCTCGCCAGACAAAGCGGTCGCTCACCACACCTCAAAACCGCAGACGGGTAACCCATGACCACGTTAGGGATGGTTCGACTGCCCATCTCCTTTCCATCCAGCGTTAAGGAACAAGCTTTTGTCGTCACTCACAAGATGTCGTGGGACATGATACTCGGCCTAGATTTTCTTTCTGCACATAACTGTTGTATTATGGTCAAAGATCGCATACTATCCTAAGGGCATAAGTCACTGCCTGACCACCCAACAGCCGCCGAGTTTGACGAAGAAGCCCTAACCGACAAGGAAGAATTAAAGTCACTCCTGACTGCGTTTAGCAATGTTTTCGCATGGGATGATACCTCCTTAGGTCGCACCGCTGCCATCCGTCACAGCATTGACACAGGAACGTCGAAACCTCTGTGGCAACCACCACGCCGTATTCCACCACACTTTCAGAAGGAGGTGAGCGACCTAATTCAAACGATGCTGAACACAGGGATAATCCGCCCCTCCAAGTCGCCGTGGGCATCACCAGTCACATTAGTGCCCAAAAAAGACGGCAAACTCCGATTTTGTATCGACTATCGACGACTTAATGCGGTCACCACCCGCGATTCTTTCCCACTGTCAAGAATTGATGTCACACTCGAAGCGCTTGCCGGAGCCCAACGGTTCTCAAAGTTGGAACTGAAGTCCTGTTATTGGCAGATTGAAATGGAACCCAAAGACCGCCCAAAAACAGCGTTTATACTACCACAAGGGCTGTTCGAATTCGAAACAATGCCGTCTGGGCTCTGCAACGCAGCCAAACACTTCCAACGACTGATGCACTCCGTCCTGGCCCACTTATACCCTCACAGCTGTTTGATATACCTCGACGACGTGATTGTGTTTGGACGCACGACCCGGCAACACAACGCTAACCTCGCCGCAGTGCTCTCTGCTCTCCGCGACGCTGGCTTGCGTTTAAATCCACAAAACTGCAAGTTTCTGTGCCGGAAAGTCACATTTCTTGGTCACGAAGTCAGCCCGCAAGGCATACAGGTGTCGCAGGAAAAAGTAGAGGCAGTCAGATCACGGCCTACGCCGAAGACTCCAACAGAAGTCAGAGGCTTCCTCGGCCAGGCCTCCTACTATCGCCGCTTCATCCTCCACTTTGCCGAGCTCGCACGCCCCCTCCATCGGTTGACCGAAAAGGGTCCCTCATTCACATGGTCCGACGATTGTCAACAGGCCTTCGATGAGTTAAAAGCAAAACTCACTTCGGCACCGATATTAATGCTACCTGACACGAGTCCTGAGGCCCCCCCTTCATACTCGATAGCGACGCCAGCGGGTTCGCGATCGGGGGCGTACTCTCACAAGCCGACGAGACAGGGGCCGAGCGACCGATTTGCTTTGCGAGCAAAACCCTATCGAAGCCCGAGCGAAACTACTGCACCTACCTACGGGAATTGTTAGCGCTGATCACATTTATCAAACAATTCAAGCCATTCCTAGTGGGAAAGCATTTCATTGTCCGCACCGACCACAAGGCCTTACAGTGGTTACAAAACATGAAAGAAGCCGAAGGCCAGCTTGCGAGATGGCAGGAATTACTGCAGGAATTCGATTTCACTTGTCAATATCGACCAGGCCACCAACACGCCAATGCGGACGCCCTTTCTCGCCGCCCAGGTGACGCCGGCACAGCAGACCCAGAAGTAACGGACGAACACATAGCGGCGGTTACAATCAGCGAATCCACTCGTTATCATTGGGCATTTGCACAAAGTACCGATCCGGACACCGCAATAATTTACGACCACCAGTTGCATGGTCGACACAGACCAACAGAGGTCGAACTTCGCGGCTCCTCGGAGATTGCCCGCCTCTTGTGCCACCATTGGGCCACCCTGTTCGTTGAGAATGAACTGCTCTTCTTTAAAGACGCAGCATCCACCCATCCGCGGCTAGCTATTCCGAGTAGCCTCGTCATACCTGTCCTCACAGACTAATACCACGAGTTGGGACATGTAGGAGTGACTAAAACGGAAGCGGCTGCTAGGCAGCGCTTCTGGTGGTCCCGCCTCAGAGAGCAAGTCGCCAACTTCTGTAACGCGTGCCCCACCTGTGCCTCCTTTAAGGGCACTATCCCTCGAAATCGCGCACCCCTACAGCCTATGGTTACAGGCTTTCGTTTTCAGCGGGTGGGCGTAGACATAGTCGGCCCGTTGCCTTACACAACTTCCGGCCATCGCTACATCTTAGCGTTGGTAGATTATTTTACGAAGTGGGCTGAGGCCAACCCTTACATCGACCAGATGCAGCCTCGGTCACCATCGCGCTTATAAAGGAATGAGTCTGTTGATACGGAGCACCCTTTTCACTTCACTCCGATTGCGGAGCTAACTTCGAAAGCCACCTTCTACGCGAAGTCTGTGACCTGCTCCTCATCCAGAAGACTCGAACTTCACCAACCCACCCAAAGGGTAATGGCCAGGTGGAGCGCACAAACCGGACCATCATTAATATCCTGAAGGCGTTCGCCGAGGACTACCACCCACACGATTGGGACGTGAAATTACCCTTCGCCATGATGGCCTACAGAGCTGCCATTCACTCTTAAACGGGCCACGCCCCATTCTATATGCTGACCGGCCGCCAATTCCGACTACCGACGGACTCGAACGTCCTCACGCAGCAACCGACGGCCTATACAACCGACAACTATGTGATAGAGCTAAAGGAGCTACTAAGACTCACGCACAACCTGGCCCGCACACAACTCCGCAACGCCTACGAAAGACAATAGACTCATTTCGACCGACGGGCACACGGGCTTCCCTACCACATCGGCGATTTAGTGCTGCGTTATCGGGCGGTCCCGCCTGTGGGCACACCGGCCAAATTATTCCGTCCTTGGGAAGGACCGTTCGTGGTCGCCGACGTCAATTTCGCCCACTACTTACATTATCCGCGACGCCTTCACCCACGCCGGCCCCACTTCCACTGTACACTTCGATAAGTTAAAACCTTACCACAGCAGTCCCCCCGTAGCGTCCCACGATACCCTAACCATTCTCCCTCCCCATTTAGTCCCCTTGCCTACCAACGAAGTGGAAGCTCCTCACGACCCCCACCCTCCACCAGGCCTCGCGGACGGGGCACTGCCCAGAGGGGGGGGGGCAGTTGTAGCAACACACATGTACGGTTGTTTTAATAGACAAGGACGCTAAGTTCGAGAGCAAGGGTGCCTGGTGTCTGGACACTATCTGTCTGCTTTCTCTTGTTTTTTTTAGTCGATATGCATGAAGAAGAAGAAGAAGAAGAAAAAGAAGTAGAAGACTCCCCCTCCCCGGTGGCAGCATCCAACTCCACCTTCCCTGGACAGCTGTGAAACTAACGTTTTGTTGGACTAATAGATCGCCCCTTTGTTTGGCCCTCGTTCTACGTTCCCCTTTTTGCCCTTCCTCAATAAACCTTAGAGTACTACGCGGCGTATCGTGTGCTTCAAGATTGTTATTCCACAATGAGCGCTTGGAAGGACGATCCTAACGGTTCACAAATCGGACAGAGTGCCCCAGTTTCCGAAGTTCCGTCCGAGGCAACCCAAAAGGACGCGAGTGAACTCTCGGCCACCGAAGCCCTTTCGAGGTCGGACGCTACAAGATAGACTGACAACCACTAATTAGAAAACACCGAAATTTATCCAACTAGAAAATAATTTCAAGGTCACGCCGATATCAAAGTTCTTCAATTTTCATGAGGGACTCATTATTCATGCCCCCAAAAACTACCAAACAGCATACTTCAATTTTTATATTGCACATATGGTTCTTTTTAAAAACCTTTGTTATGATTTCGCCTTAGAACTCAGGTTTTTTAACTTAAAACAAACTCTCAATTCGCCCTCTTTTGGCTAAGCACCCAAAACCAATGAAGTCAAAGGGCAGTCGAAATAGATGAGTTTGTTTTAGGTTTTTTTCCTGAGTTCAAAGGAGACTGGCAGTGCCCAAAGGGCGCTTTAATAAACCTATTCTATTCTATTTTATCTTTTATTCCCTCGCCACAAAGAGAGGCAATCCTTTACTGTATCTACTATTCCCAAACTCTTCAGCTAGTGATGACGCACAACTCTATGAAATCCTTAAATTAATATCGGAAGCTGCTTTCGATGTTAAACTAATCCCTCGAGATTTAAACCTT